AGTTGGTGGATTACAGAAGAAATCTTGCGTTGAGATTCAGGGGTAATATCAGATCCTGAGAAAGCCTGCGAAAGTAGGGAGTTGATGTCACGGGAGTGACACGCCTGGGCTTACCATATCATTGGCAAGCTAATCACCCGACACGCAGCTGGATTTCTATATCGGGCTGAATCCCGATATCCGGGCCGAGCTGCGCCGAGACCCCCGCACTCCCCGAGAACACCAGATCCGCTTCTGCTTCTGCTTTCTTTCCTCTTCACGCAACGTCTTGTCAATTGAATTGACTCTTTCATCACGCAATCGAATAGAATAGCTCCGCTGAATACATCTGCTTGTATCTCACACACAGCCTCTAGTGATTCCGTGACACTTGCAACGGTTTGGCCTTTGAATCGGCGCAAGAGCGTAGAGGGAACAAGATTGTAGGCGCGCGCGGTTTTAGCTATATTGGGAGCTTTCTGCAATCTCAAATCTTCAATTGCGAGCTCAATCGGATCCATGGTTGTGGAGATATTGCAATATTCAATTCTTGGTGGTGTGGGCAAAGGCGAGTGCACGGGCACCGCGAGTGCACGTGCCCTGCAGAACCTCTAACAACTTAAATTAAAACAGGATAATCGCTGGCACGCTCCGCATTCCACAATCGAACGACCCATTGACCTTCCGCCTTTATACGATATATGCCAAGCCCGCATCCGCTTTTGCGTTAGCGCAAGACACAAGCATCTCAGGGCTTTCTGCGAGCTTGATCCCGTTCACTCCCTCACGACCATCGCGGGGCTCCCCACAAACATATCATCCACAAGGCTGCAAGAAAACGCGTGACTGACACAAGTCAATGAACAGCCCTCTGGCGGCCACTGCGCTCTTGGCGATAATCTTAACTTCCAGAATCTGTTGGCGAACTGCTCCATGTTGATTGAGTCATCTCCTTATCGTCCTTCTTCATCCCTTCTTCATCTAAGTACGACATGGGCAAGGAGATAATCTATACTCATCTCCATTCTCTATCACCAAGTATAAGCAAAGGGTAAGTCGTTATCTTTCCTTAGCAGTTGTCGCTCGTTGGTCTCTTTTGCTCGTTTCAGTACTCCACCACAATGGGATCCATCCAACAGCTTCTGGTGGCGGTCATTGCCCTGGGCATTGACTCTGTCACCGCTCAGAGCACACCTTCAGCTCCTGTGGCCCCACAATTCCAAGCTCCTCCGAATGTTGGAAGAGGCACCGGCCAGTACACCGACTCTGCCCACTTCCGGATCTGGGGAACCGCCTCCCAGGCCAAAAGCACCATCAACGAACTCGAAGCTGCCTATTCCTGCTTTGTTGATGGCATGGGCTACCGATCGACCGGCTTATCGTACAACGATGCAGGAAATTCAGGGCCTTTCTACAAGATGAACGTCTATAGCAAAGCATCCCTCGGCAATGCTGCTGGCGTGATGCAGTCGGATCCAAGGACTGGCCTGAGCTTTCTCCAAATCATAGCTTCCTCCCTCACAGACCCCAAGGTCTCGGTCCATGAATGGGGACACGCGCTCGCCTACCACGGGCAGACGTGGGTAAACCAGGGAAACACCGGTGCTTGGTGGGAGACAGTCGCAAACTTCGTCGCAGACACGTACATGACCTCGCCTATGTGTGCCGAAGCAAGGCAGCAGTTTAACCAACCCGAAGGCCGTACCATCGTGGCCCTGGCTAAGGTCATCGGTGCCTCGCATCAAGTTCTTGTCGATGGATCATCCGGCTCCGGCAACCACTATGAAGCATGGCCATTCCTCGCCTACTTGACCTACAACCCGGACAAGTACCCTGCCCTCGGAGAAATGACAATGCGAGAGCTGTTTCGCCAGTACAAGAAAGGAAGCAACGAAACTCCTCTCCACACTGTCGCGCGCGTCTCAACTGGCGCATCTGTTCAGAAACTCGTCGGTCGCTATTGGGCCCGCATGGCCTACGGCGATATCGGTCACGCGCAAATCAAAAGCGCGTTTGCGACTTCCGGCGCCCGCTACATTCGTCCCTCTTTGGACGCTGCTGGAGCTGGGACGTATCGGGTGAAGGCGGCTCGCGCGCCGAAATACTTTGGCGCAAACATCATCCCGCTCAAGGGCTCCGGCGCCGTGTCTGTCATGGTTACTGCGCCGTCTGCTTTCACAGCGACACTGGCGATCAAGCCTGCGACGGGAGCTGTTCGTTATGTCGATCTCGTGGATGGTGCTGGACAGGCGACCTTGGCAGCTGGAGAAGCGGCGAGTCTGGTAGTTGCGAATACCCCTGCGCAACTTTATACTTACGATCCGTTCCAGATTTCTGGTAATGTCGCGAGGGGGTTGAGCTATCAAGTCCAGCTTACTGGTGCTACTGTGTAATCTAGCCATTTTCTCAGACTTGCGAGTATCCTTTTGATACATTTCGTACGTTCTTATGAAGCATTTTCCATTTCCATTCACATTGTTCTTGCATTCGGTGATGTTGCCGTTGATGTTTCACAAGATGCCTTATTTTAGAGGTAGAATCGTGGTTGGTGCTGACTCCACCCGCAAGGCTGAGCATACTCCCTCTTCTCAGCCTCGGACTTGACATCATCAACTCAGCAACAACGAGCATAGTATGTAAATCTCTTTTCTCCTCGCATAACAGATCCAGCCTCTGAACATTGACTCTTCATACTTTACCAGCACCTCCACCGCAAAAATGGGCTTCTTCTCCTCCGACCCCGTCAACCTCTCAATCCAACTAAACCAACCAATCGACCAACCCTACTACCCCGGCGCCCCCGTGACCGGCCACGCCCTCCTCACCAGCTCCGTCGAAGACTTCGCAACCCAACTCTTCATCTCCCTCATCGGCAAAACCACCGTCGACTTCAGCGTCAGCCACGGCATGGGCGACGACCGTCGCTGGGTCGGCTACCACGAAGAAACACCTCTCTTCACCCTCTCGCAAACCCTCATCACCACCACCGCAGACGGCCAGCCTCAAACTTTGCTGCGGGATCGCGGACA